CTCTCTCTCTCTCTCTCTCTCTCTCTCTCTCTCTCTCTCTCTCTCTGTAACTAACAAACTAATCTAAATATGGAAAAAATAATGTTTATTGAAATGGATGAATATTGATAATTATGATGATGATGATCAATCAAAAATGATTAACATGATTCGAATGATTTGACAATTATCATCCTAATGATAATTATAATGATGGTAACCACACAACAACAACATTAACAACAACAAAGTTATTCTCCGGATACATTTTCGGACAACAACAATAATAATGATTAGCAGAAAAACGAAAACGAAAAATGTTTTTCCAAAAAATAATAATTTCATTTGAACAAACACATCAAACATATTCGATTTTTGTGTGTATACAAAATTCAGTTCATTTGTACTATTTTTGGTTGTTTTGATTTGGTTCGATTGAGAATTGAATAATAAAACAAAAATCCAGATCACAAATTCAATCAGTGTGTGTGTTTATCGATCAAATATCAAATGATACCTTGGTGTTTCTTTTTTTTAGTGTTTTTGGTGTGTTTTCCAATGTTACCAGGACAACCTAAAATAAGATAAAGATTTTCTATTATTCCAAATTGCGTTACTTACATATAACTCAATCAATATTTTCTCATTATTTAGAGGGGAATATTAATTAACAAGATTTGTTTTTTTTTGCATTTGTTTTTTGTATTTTTGCTTTGATATTTTGATATTTGATTTCTGGTGTTAACAAACATCCACAAAAAACATGAATTACAATCATTTTATCATATTGATTCTAATGCAATTAATTAATTTTTTTGATTGTTTAATGGTTGATAATCATCATCGATATTTTTTTATTAATGATGAGGATAATGATGGTAGATCAATCAATGCTGCTGCTGATGATAATCAACAACCACTGCTACCACCACCACCATTGAAAACAATATTTGATCTGGTAAATGAATCACAATCAAATGCTGATAATAATAAATTAATATTGGATGGATTTTTTCAACCAAATTTCAATTCTAATCATAATAATGACGATGATGACGCTGATGATAATGTTGATGATAATGATCCAGGTGAAACAACATCGATAACATCGACAAAAATCAATCAAAAACAATTGAAAATTAATGATTTAAAAATCTGTGTAACACTTACGCCTGGTTATGTATCAACTAGAAAAAAATTAGTCAATTATGAATGTCAAGCACGAATATGTCGAATGTCTTCGAATGATTTCGAATCGATTATTGATGATCAAAATGATGATTATCATTTTGAAAAACCAATATTTGATTGGAAAACTGATTTAAATCATCTGCTTGTGACGAATAGTTCATGTGATTCAATCCGGAAACAATGTAAATTTAATTTGGATATTAATGTAGAGAATTTTTCCCGGGAAATGGAATCAAATGGAATGAAAATAATGAAAATTACCTGTAATGTTGCTGATTTTATACGTATCAATAACAACAACAACAATGATAATGATGATGATGAAATTATTGAACGTAATAATAATAATTCACCAGGTAATTTACGTTATCATTATATTTCGGGACAGGCTGATGCATTTGTTAAAATTTTTAAAGGTAAATATTTTTTTGCTGGGAAATTTCCCAAAAAAAAACTTTTCAAATTTTCTTCTTTTCAACTAATCATTTCATTTGAAACAAAAAACCATAGGAAATCGAATTCATCAAGCTTGTAATCGTACTGATGATTGTGGTGAAAATATGGTTTGCAATCCATCAAATCAATCAAAAGATTCATCATCGTCCAATTACAATAATAATGGTTATTGTGAATGTCCAAATGAAAGTATTCGGATACAAATTGGACAACAACAATCATCATCCAATAAAGAAGATAAAATATCATTAAATACATTCATTTTGGTAATTGATCATCATTATGATGAATTAATTTGTGCTGAAAAACGTCATCTAAATCAATCATGTCAATATGATCAACAATGTCAATCAATTGATCAAAATAGTAATTGTCGACCAATATATTCATCGAATGGTTTTGCAACACCAGAATCCATTTGTGATTGTTCATTTGGCTATGTTGATGATCGACAATCTGGTAAATGTATTAATGTTTATTCAGTAACAAAACAATCAAATAATGATGACGAAAATCGATTACCAAATTATCGATTATCAAATTATCCAACTGTCGTACCAAAAGGTGTTTATATTTGGTGGATAATTCAACCGAAACACTCAAATATCACTACAACAACAACAACAGCTAATCGTATTATTTCTACTTATCAATTTTTATGGCAACGTTATTCACATCAAAGATATTTAACACAATGTCTACTGGCAATAATGTTATTTGTTCCATTTTTCATACTATTAATATCAAGTGCTTATCTTCATTATTATCGTCGTCAATTAATGGCTGTTGATAAACGTAAATATAAACCACCAATATTACTGAATTCAATGATGCCCATTTCGGATCGATCACCACCATCCCCACCAATATCAACATTACCACCACTAACAATTAACGAACAAAAGCACAATAATCATAAACAACAACAACAAGAAAAACCGAATACATTATCAAAACAAATCAATGATAAATCTGAATTGATTAAAAATGATCAATTAAATCATCAATTTTATCAGATTCAATTTCAATAATAAAATTCAAAAATTTATGAAAAATCAATAAAATAAATAATCAATATTTTCGAATTTAAAAAAAAAATGGCAAAATTCAAAATGATTGTGTGCGCGCGCATGTGCGTGTAAATATTTTTCAAATATATAAAATAAATTAAAAATAAGTTAATCAATAAATAAAAAGTATGTCCATTACAAACAAGGAAATTGAAAAAAAAGTTTAGTTGTTTTTGTTCTGTTCCCTTTTAACCCTTTAAAACAAGAATTTTTGAAAAAAAAATTATGTAAATATTTATTTATTTGCAAATTGTGTTTTTACTTCGCTCAATCGATCGATCGATCAATCAATCAACCAATCAATCGATACGATTAATTTGTGCCCAAAGTAATTTTTGTTGCGTATTCATTTGATTTGATAATTGTAACGGTTGTTGTGGTTGCGCATGATTACGATGATTTTTAATCGTAATTAAAGATTTATTTTTTGTTTTTGCTGCTGTTGCTGCTGACGTTGATGATGATGTTGTTGATGATAAACGACTACTCATACTATTACAATCATCATTTTCAAATGGTTCATTTTTAAATTGATGTTTACCACCACCGCCACCAGGTAAAATATCAGCAACATGAATACCATTGAATAAATGGGCTAAACCTGTACGACGATTATAATGTTGTTGTCGTTGTTGATGATTAACATTGTATGTCGATGATGTCAACGATGATGATGGTATTCGACGATAAATCAAACAACACGCCAATATTGATCCAATAATAGTGACCTAAATTTAAAACAAAAACCAGGTATGATTAATTGATTCAGGATTCATTGAATTTCGGTCAAAATCTTACCTGTAACATAAACAATGTAATAATACCGATAATCATTGTTGTTTTAGTTGCACAATACATTTGTTGTTGTTGTTGTTCGGCTAATAATTTTTCCTGTTGATTAACATCATTATCATTTAAACGACTAATACTTTCGACTATAATTTCACGATGTAATTCAGTATTATTGGTTAGGAATTTTTTATCATCAGCAGTAATACTACGACGACGTCTACGACGTCCCCAACTTTGTACATTTTTCAATAATTCTGAATCAACATGACGACTATGATCACAATTTACAGGTAAACATTCTTGTAGACAGAATTGTACATTAACCTGAAACCGTACGACAACATCATCGGCAAATTTGAATGCATCAAATTTTCCCTGTATTTTTTAAAAGAAAATAAAATTATAAGGTAAAAAAATGATAAGAATCTTGTTGAAACACTTACCTGTAATCCTTTTGAATTGGGTATTTTTTCCAATACTGGAAAAATATTCGGATCAGTTGGACAACCATCCGAATCGATTAACATTATTGATTCATTTTGATTTGCACCACTTTTGGCTATCAATTCACGAGCAAAAATTCCAAAAATTTCATCATCATCCATTTCAATACGAAGGAAAAGTTCATCACCCAATCGAGCACCGGTAATATCTTTACCATTTTTATCCGTTATACGTAATCGTATATTTGGTGATGGTGCTGTTGCATTTACAATTGATGTTTCAGCTACAGGTGGCATTCTTTATTCACAATAACAGTGATAATAGAGAAATAACAATGAAAAAAAAAATCAATTTTAAAGTTAAAATTCAACATCATCATATATCATTATAATGGGAGACAAAAAAAAACATGAAAACGAAACATACTCAACCAATACACTATATGTATTACTTATTGTACGATTAGTTGCTTCAAAATGACAAGCAACATGTACCATTCGATCACCTTTTCTTTGTATTAATGGATGATGTTGTATAACAACCATTGATGTATATTTACCATCCTATCAATACAATCAAATCAATCAATTAAATTTAATAGATTTTTTTTTCTCAATTCAATCAGATCGATAATAATAATAATAATACACACCTCTTCACGAACACCACAACCTGATCTTGAATTGAATGGTAACATTAACATTGTACTTGTTTCCGATCGGCCAATCGATTCACAATTGATTGGATCCTCTTTTGAATACAATCGTCCATTGAATGGATTTAATGTATTCAATGCTACTGTCATTGAATCTGATCCACAAAATAATTGTACTATGTGTTTTCATGTTTTGAAAAGGAAAAAAAATCAGAAAAATCAATTTAATCCACACAAAACATGAAAATAATCTCTCTCCACACTTACAATCTAAACAATGTCCACGTTGATAATAAGTAGCACCTGCATGTGATTCTAATCCATTCAAACCGGATGATACGGCTAGAATATCATCAGAATTAAGCCAACATTGTGATGTAGCCGAAGCATATGTATATGAACGACAAACAAATGCACGTGTTGCTTCACATAAACTACGACATTGATCAGCGGAAAATGCTGTCCGGATAAGATCAGCACGTTTTATATCCAAATTTTCATAACGTTCAAAATCACAACCAACTGTCATTGGTACATTGCTTACGGCTGTTGTTGTTGTTGTTGTCATTCCATTTTTTTGTTGTTGTTGTCCAGATTGTTGTCCAGTTTGTTGTTGTTGTTGATTAGCTGAACATTGATTTTCAAAATAATCAACTGAACTACTAATAGCATGTTGAAATGAACTTGGTTGTGAACGACGATCTTCTGATGATAGACGACATTGTTGCAGCGCATAATCATATTCACCTGAACGACAAACAAATGATCGTTCTTTCAAACAAAGTTCTTGACATCTTAAACGACTTGCAACACCCGACAATATACGATTATCAAAACCATTTAATTCTTTACCCATAACCCTTTCGAATGTCCATGCTTTTTCACATGGTGCAGTTGACAGGCATATTTTTTCAAAATAACTTGTTTTTTCTGTTGTTGATACAATCGATAAACCACGATTTAATGATTCATAATCAAAACCAAAACATTGATGTTTATCATAGCTTAATAAAAATGAACGACATTTAACACCAGCACGACAACGATTATTACATTCAGCTGTAACAGGTATATCTGGTTGGCCATTATATAATGGTACAAATGGTATACCACGTATAGTGACCGAAGCAATTTTTTCAAATGACATTGTTGTACCGATTGGACATTGAGCTAATCATCATTGAATCAAATGGGGGAAAAAAAGTTAAATATTTGCGAAAAAAGCAAAAAAAAAATCAAACTAACCATTAACCATAGTAGTAGTGGATATAAACAGCAAAATGATGATTGTAAATTTTATCAATGATGGCCAATAATATGGATAATAATGATGGTGGCTATGGTTATGATAATGATATCCATTTCGGAATAATGATAATGATGATGATCGTCGAAATCGTTGACGATGTTGATGATCATCAACAGAATTCAATTTGATGAAATTTCTATCCATTTTTTCCACGATAACAGCAGATACGGCGGGTAATGTCATAGGTTTTTGTTTGGTTTTTTCGAAAATTTGCATTTTTTTTCTTGGAAAAATGAAATAAAAACACACAAAAAGATATCAAACCGATGATGATGATGATGATCAGGTAGAAAAGCAAATTGAAAACCAAAAATGAAATGAAATAAATCAAATTATCATTTGTTTGGCTTTTGGGTTTTGAAAATGATAATGATATACTCCTGTTGTTGTTGTTGATTGAACGATTACGGATGCTGCTATTCGTTTGTCTATAAAAGAGAATGGAGAAAAAACATGAATGAATTTTGGAAAATGAAAATTTTCGTTTGTTTGTTTGTTTGTTATGTTTTTACATTGAAACAATTACAGAATGTTTTTTCCTTTTGAACAGAAAAAAAACTATAAAGTAAATAAATAAATCCAATGACCATGAAATTGAGCGACAGAAAGAAAGACAACACTGAAAGAAACAAAATAATTCCGTAGACATGATAATGATAATGTTGACAACTAAAATTATCATCTTTGAGAACCATTCGTTTTTTTTGAAAAGAAAGAAAGATTTGTAGCCTGACCATTACCATTACCATCATCATCTTGTCATCAATCATACCGGACATTTTGTTTTCTTTTTTGTTGGTGATATATGACGGAAACAAAAATTATCATTTGAAATGGCCATCAGAACAAAAAGATTGGTGAACTTGAACTTTTTCCTAAATTCTTGGTTTTTTTTTTGATTGTCAAATGTCAAAACAAACAAAACGGAAAAAAATCATTTTTATAGTGCAAAACGAAATCGAGTAAAATTGATTGATTGAATAAATGACCAGACTGTACTGACCAAAACAGATTTCATTACAATTCTCATGAATGAATGAAAAACATCATTGGTTTTATCATTTACAAATTACAAATTATTATCATTATCGTTTTTCAACTGGAAAAAAACAATTTTTTAAATGTGATAACCATGAAAACACTAGTATCATCATCGTCATCATTTGATCAAAATAGCCGTCACCATTAGACAATAAACAGTCGAACAAATGACCAAAAAAAAAGGTTCATCACACCATGATGATGATGATGATTGAATCTTTGAATGATACTTTTTGATCAACCAAGAAAATGAAAGAAAAGAATCGATCAGACAGAAAAAAAAAGAAAAAGACAAAACTGGCATTTATCATTATGATAATGATAATAATAATAGCATAGAAAGATGCCAAAAAAAACCTCAAACAACAATTTGTTTCGAAAATCTTGTTACAAAAAGCTAAACATTGAAAAATATTAATTTTGTTTTTCTTTTTTGTTACTTTTCAATCATATTTAAATATTGTTATTCTTTTCTTTTCTCGTTACAAGTTGATGATGATGATAATGATAGTTTTTGTCTGGTTGTTGTTGTTGTAACCGAGCAAAATTATTGATTATTAGTATAACCATACCGAAAATGATGATGAATGATGAATAATAATTGAACTAGATTTTCAATCAAAAAAAAAATGATTTTTTTCCACCGAAATAACAACAACAAAAACTTTGAAGAAATTCCTGATGATCATGATCATCGAAATGATCATCCATTAAGTGCCAGCATAAAAATCAAAATCAATGAATATTTGTTTGATTCAAACAAACAAAAAATTGCGGTCAAAATTCTCAAGTGAAAAAAAAGTAAATTACTTTTCAACTTGGAAATGATAGCACCCAGTAAGCAAAACCAAACCGAAAAAAAGAATGTGTATCAAACACGAAACCATCATATTTGATCAATCAATCAATCAGATCGATTGATGGTTTAGTTTATTTGTTCAATGATTGATCAGATCAATCAGATAACAAAACAAAAAACAAGATCAATTCGTAGTTTTAGAAACTAGAATAATCGATTATGTCAGTCTGATCAATTTCAATGAAAAAATTGTTACATTTTTTTTCAATCAAACAAAAAAAGAAACCAATTTACCACCGAATTGATTTTGCCCACATCTTTTTCTCAGAGGAAAAAAATAGAAGGCAAAGAAGCATCAGGTAATCAAGATTTATACCTGATGAATAATGATCATGATCATAATGAAAATATATTTGTCACACTAGGTATTATCACGGGTTAAGTTGGTGGTGGAAAGCCATTAATCATTAATCATCATCATAATAATCATATCAAACCATATAGATTACTTGATAACTTGATCTTGTTTATTTTTGCAACTGGTCAAAAATAATAATGATAACGCCATTTTACTTAAAAAATTGACCGATTTTCTTGATTTTTGTCATCATTTTTGACAAAAAAAAATTGACAATCAATTCATTCAACCGTTTGGCTTTTTGGTTTTTTCTTGGTTTGGTCAATGAAAAAAAATACGGGGCGCAGCAACAGATGATGATGATGATAACTTGACGAAAGAATTTTGATTTTTTTTTGAATAAATTTTCTTATCGCTTCTGTAAACACCGTAAGACCGAAAGGTCGAAAAAGGGGTATTGATGAAAAACAAACCAAGCATGCAAATTTCAACAAGAAAAAACTCAATCTCAATCTTCTTAGACGACGACCAACTAACCAAGTAAAAAGAAATTGAACCCAAAAAAACCCTAACCTAAACCAAAACCAAAATCAAACACAGAATGATGGTGTTTGGTGACCGTTTACAATTCAGAAAATGTGTATGTTTTTTTCCGCTATTTTTCGATTGAATGAATTTCATGTTTTTTTTTTGAAAAAAAAGATTTGGTAATATGAAATGAATGGATGGGTTTTTCGACTTACTAAACACACACACACCAAGCAAACACAGAACAAACGAAATAAAAGTTAAATCAACCAAGAAGTTTGATTATTATTATGTTGACGAAGACGATGATGAATGAGAGAGGGGGTATGATGATGAGTAAAGAATTGATCAATATATTTTTGTTGTTTATGGAACTAGGTTACCTGAACAGGTAAATTGCTGTTGTTGTTGTTGTGGTTAATTTTTGTTTTTGCATAAGAACAGAGTTGATGATGATTGTTGCTGTAAATGTGGTTTTCTTTAAAACGAAAAACAACAACAATCAAAATGTGTGTGTTTACAGGAAGAAATAAAAAAAGTTTTCGGAAAAAAAAGTTCTTTTGGAAAGAATTTTTTTCCTGGTCATAATTTCTCCATCATCACCATCACTGGACACTGGACACTTTGAAGCAATGAAACAAACAACTAAAACAACCGAAAACCAAGTAAACACAAAATGATTTTCTGATGATGAAATGAATTCAGAAATTTGACTGAATAAAAAAAAATATTGGCCATTTTTATATCATTTTTCGACTTCTCTCTAAAGGTGCTTTTTTGAAATTTTTTCAAAAAAAATTCAAATTTTTCTTTTTTGTTTTTTTTCTAATATTCAAAAAGACAACAACAATAGGAATGACCTAGAATGATTAACAACAACAGCAACAACTTGCACGTGTTTTTTTTTGGAACGATGTTGATTTGATGATGATGATGAATCAGTTCAAATGAATTAATAAATAATTTTCAATTGAATTTGAATGAATGAATAGAATCTTGACAACAACAACAACACCGACACGATAATAATGGTTTCAATTCTTTGATGAAAAGAAAGAAAGAATTTGTTTTTTGATGAAAGATGATGAACGTTTTGTACAATCGAAAACAATAGCGAAAAAAAAAGTTTTGAATTTTTTTTTTGTTTGTTTCGTACCTAATTATGTGATACAATGATACTTGGCTTCATTCATCTTCATCATCATCATCATTATGAATGATTTGCTAAATACGTGATCGTTTTTTATTTGCAAAAAAAAAGAATGATGAAAAATGAAATGAAGTTTTTTTGTTTTGTTTTTCAAATGACAAAATGATAAATTCGGTCACTAATTAGCAAAATATATTCATAAATTTTGATGATACAAACAAAACGAAAACAAAATCAATATTTCCCATTTAAAAAAAAACTATCAGTCATTTAGATTAATTCAAAGTAATCAAGTATTTCAAGTAAAAGATTCTTGATTATGTAATCAACCTTGAAATTAGCGTTTATTCAATTGGAAAAAATAAGAGAATTATGAATAATCGTTAGTTTTGTTTTTTGTTTCGGCTATATTTATCAAATCATTTATCAAATAAATATCCATCATCATTATCATTATCATATTGCACGTTATATATGATAAAATGCTTGATTATTCGATTTAATTAGCATCATTAGCATTAGAATCATTTTTTTTTCATTTCGTTTTGTTTTGCTTTGTTTGACCTGGCCTAAATATATTTTTTTCTACCTTTTAGGAATATCAAATACTAAATAAATGTCAAGTTTTACAGTTTATCACCAACACATATTTATGGGCGTTTTTCAAAACAAAAAAAAAATCCTGATAATAAAACAAAAATTCCGAACAAGAACTTGTTAACAACAACAGCAACAACAAAATTGTTAACAAGCAACCTGGTTATTATCTTGAATGGGCAACACGGTTTTTCTGATTACGTGATTCAAATCTATTCATTTCTTTATCTCTCTTTCCATTCTCTTATGGGATGCACAGGTAAACAACACACCATTGACGAACATGATGGCATTGACAATGATTTGTTTTCTTGCCACTTACCTTATAATAATAATTAATAATGATGATGATAAACGTATCAACCGATCAACAACAACAACAGAAAAAAAAGGGTAATTATCAAACAAAATATTCCATATGAGAAGAAGAAGAAGATGATAATTAACAACAAGAAAATATTTGCATATGAAACATATAAAACAAAACGAATCAAAGCGAACAAAACGAAACAGAAGAAGAAAAAACAAACAAGCGAAAAAATGTAATTGTTTTTGATGAAAATATATGGATCACAGTTTGTAGAAATTATATTTAATTAATTAATTATTTGATGATGATGATGACATTTGTTTTTTTTTTGTGAACAAAGATTAAGATTTTCTTTTCTTTCGTTAATTCTATTGGATTTTTTCTTTTTCGGGTTAAAATCGGTTTGATGCAGTCACTATGATGCAAGGGTTCAGTAGACTTTTTTTTTGTGAAAAAAAAACCATTGAAAATAACGACAATAATGATGATGGTTGAAGGAAAAAAGCCAAATCAACCATTACATTATCATCATCTTGATCATCATCATCATCATTATCAATGGTAATATTGTTGATAAGAAAATTGAATCGTCGTTGTCGTCATCATCATCATTTTTTTCAAAGTTAAAATAGCCGTAGGTTGTTCAAATGTGAATATTATCGGTGAATATTATTCGATCTTGGGAAACAGAAAAAAAATTAAAACATTGATGATAATGATTGGCAATGAAAAAATCAATCAGGAATTTAGTTAGTTTTGATGATGACAAGGGAAAACGAAATTCAACAATTATCGATTAAAACAAAAGCAAATGAATAATGATAATGATGATGATTATTGATTTACATTTATCGATCGATCGATTGATGATGATATACACAGATAGGAAAATATTTGAAAAGATATTGCGAAATTCCCGGGAAAATTTCTCAAAACTTTTCTTTGAAAACGTCGGTAGCTGAATCAAACAATGAATGAATGAATGAATGAATAAAAATGGCCAAAATGAAAACCTATTATCATCAACCAGAAATTCATCATGATCAACTCACTCTTTCTCCAAAAGGTAAAAACTACCATCATCAGTAAAAGAAAAGGAAGAGAAAAAAAAACAACCAACCATAAGAAAAGAAACCGAAAGAGAGAAACAAGATGTGTGAACATCATTGACTGAAAGGGGGTAGGGTTACCTAAAGTTACCTGTGTATTTTTCTCTTCATCTTTGTTATCTTGGATATAACCAAACAACCACAACCATTGTAATCATCATCATCATTATTTTTTTGAATATGAAAAAAAAATCTTTTTGCAAACAAAAATAAAAATGGACAAAGAGAGTAGGAAAGGGATTTTTGTAAAAAAAAAATGAAAATTGTAAATTTATTTCTATTTTTCACCTGTCTTGGTTCTTCAGGTAATGTCAGCGATGATGATGATGATGTAATAGGACATTTACCGGTTGCGTAATGCTTGTCATCGAAAATGTCTTAACCAAACATCAACGATGATGATGTCCATGATGATGTCCATGATGGTGTTAAAATATTTGTCACTGCAAAAAAAATGAACGAAAAACCAATTTACATCACACTTTTTTTAACCGAAACGGTGGTCAACAATTTTCATTCATATTTTCCATCCTTAAAATTATCATTGATCATCATTATGGTTGTTGTCAATGTCAATGTCAGATATGTCACTGTGGACAGTATTGATTGATGCAAAAAAAATTCAAAAAAGATTTTCTGTTTGAATTTTTATTTTTCTTTTTCAAAAATTCCATTTCATTACCATATTTGTATTTTTTTACAGGTAAATATAATTTGTTGTAACTTGGATTACACAGAACAGAAAGGACAGAAAAATAAAAAATAAAGATGTCATATGCAAAGAATCAAAAAAAAAAAAAAAAAATGAAAAATGATCTTTTTTTTGCGAAGAAATTTTCTTTAAAAAAAATTACCTAAATATTTCTCTACAACTTATAGGGATTATCTCCGAATCCATGATTGGTTTTTTTTCTTATTCGTTTGACATTTATATTTCCGCCATTCAAAAATAAGATAAAAATTCTTTAGGATTATGTGAAAAAACAGTAAAGATTCTATGAAAATCTTTACCATGTTACTCTAATCATTTTGTTGTCGTCGTTTTTTTCTACGAATGTTGACAGACTTGTCAAATGAAAGAAGAAGAAAAAAAACTTAATCATTTTGAATTTTCTTCTTCATTGCTTAACGTGGGAATTTTTTTTTGGTTTTTTTAAAATTTTTCTTCAAAAACTTTTCTGAAAAACTTTTTTTCCTGCACAAATTAGAATATCATGTTAAATAATCAAGCAATTCGATCGTTGTTGTCATAAGTGACCAGAAAAAAAGCAAAAACAAGAAAACGAAACAACAAAAAAATCAATCAATCAATTTACCTGTTGTTGTTTGTAATCGATATCCGATCGTTAATCAGAAAAAAATTTAAATAACCGTAATTGTTTTCCAACAAAAGCAAAAACAATTCAATCAGATCAGATCAGAAAATTTCCAATCAATCAAAACACTATTTATTTCAAGAAAAGCAGGTAAATTAATAATTAACTTTTGAACTAATTAAAAACTCAAAACTCAAAAATCAATCAAGATGAGAAAAACAAAAACAATAAAACAATTTCCGGAATCACACATTACCTACTCGAACACAGATTAATCAACCATAATCGAAACAACAGCAGAAAACATTTTTGATAAATTCATTACCGAAAACCAAAAGAAAAACATTAATCAAAAAATGTTACAAAATAAAATCAAAGTAATAATAATTATTACCTGCAAACACACAGGTAGACGCAGACAATGTTCAATCCTATATACATCATCATCATTATCATTATGATTACCGATTTGTTCGAAGGAATGATGATGATGATTATGAAATTCGACAATGTCATGGTTACATATTTTTTTTCATTGAAAAAAAATGAAAATAATCTTCAAAAGACTCGGATAATTTATTGTTGTTGTTGTTGCGTGTATGTGTGTGTGGCCACCACCACCATTTGATCAATTTTTCTTCTTTACCATTTACCATCATCATCGACAACACTGGAGCAATTAGACAGGTAGACAGACGAACGAATGATGATAATAATCATAATAAATTTGAGAATTTTTTTCCTCTCTCTCAATGTGAATGTGTGTCCGATTTCATTGTCATTATCATTTGGATAAAAAAATCCAAAAAAATCATCGATGCGAAGAAAAAATATGGATAATAAAAGCAAGAAGTAAAATAAGATTTTTTTTGTTTCTGATGATAAATTTGATGAAAGAAAAATGTTTTTTTTTTTCTTCACTGTTGCTGTTGTTGTTAATCGCTTATTAAATAGACGAAAAAAGGGTTGTAAATGAATCCAAAAAAACATACAGATATGATTTATTCCCATAATCATCATTATCATCATTTAGAAACATGTGTCCATCATAATCATCATTCCTTTTATTCTGTTAAATCTTATGTCAACACACACACACAGACATGCTGAAGATCATCCATTCATTTATCTTCTTTGAAATGTTCATGTGTGGTTGAATCTTTGAAGATTTTTGATGATGATAATGATCGTCATCATCAAGATTAACATCTTGAAAATCGTGAGACGTTGATCATGATGATGATGGTCTTCGTCAAGAGTCATCGATTTTTCATCACCACCACCGCCATATTAATGAAATTAAATCAAATTGATCTTTGTCTTTGTTTTTCCAATGATGATGATGATTTTCAATAATGAAAATTAAAACAATTTTCCAGAAGAAAAAGAAAAACAGAACAGAACAATCCCAAATCATTAACAAAGTAATCATCAGAATAGCAACAAGAAAATTTCCTGGAAGTTTTATTCAATGATGATGATGGTGATTTGATTGATTTTTTTTTGCTGTTGTTGAAAAGAAATGATAATAATAGAAAAAATCAATTCAATTGTCACCAATCAAATGAATAATTTATTTTAGACAAACCAAACAAACAACAACGAAAAAAAAACATTCAATGATGATGACATTTCATTCATTGACATTGAATTTTTTGTTCGTTGTAGTTGATCAATTTAGTGAACAAAGCGAAAAATTTGAATGAAATGAATTGAATTGAAAATTTCAAACAAACAAACAAACAAACAGGTCATCTGGAAAACGAATTAGATAGGAAAAACACCACCATGAAGACAAACAAAACAAAAATGTTTCTTGTTCTCAGGTCAATCGGTTTGTCATCATCATCACTACCTGATGGATTGTCACCTTGACATTTGGGTAACATTATCCAGGTGTATCAGTTTACCGGGAAAATTTTTGAAAATTTTAATATGAGATAATCGATTAATCGAAAATCAATAATCGATTAATCGATTGTTTTTTTGCATAAGTGTTTTAATAATGTAATTATGGGAAAAAACAGAACAAATCGCATCAACATCCATAAATGAATATCTCCATTGATTTTATTTATTTATTTTAGAAAAAAAAAATTCAAAACCCATAATTTTCTTCCCTTAGAAAACTCCTTCAAAGCCGAATTGATGATTTTTAAGTGAGAACATGATGAATATTATGTTTGTTGATGATTTCAATGTGAAAAAAACATTGATTTTCACATTGAAATCATCATTGATCTGTTGTTGTTGTTCATTGATTTGGTTGTCATCAATTTGTTGTTGCTGTTCGGATTTTTTTTTTTGATTGATATTTTTAGATCACCCAACCAACCAACCAAACACACACACACACACGCAAATATCAATTCAGGAATTGACATAGAAAATTTCTCTTCCTTGTTTTTTTTTGTTCGTTACGTTTTGAATTTAAATTATAAAATGTTTTAAATTCGGGGAGAAAAAAACCAAATCATCAATGATCATGACCTTGATATCTTTGGAAATTTTTCGTTAAATCGAAAAAAATAACAGAGTTAAACAAGAATAACAATTGTTCGATTTTGAGAAATGTGTTCAATGAAAGAAATCATAGACGACAACAGGTGAAACGGGTGAAGAAAAAATGATCACGGATCAATCGATTGATTGATTGATTGAAATGATGATGATCTCCTGATTTTTGGGTTGTTTTTTCGGGTAAATTCTCTCTCATTTTATTCAGCCTAATCGATTGTAAAATCGATGGAAAATATATTGATTTTATTGTATTTGAAATCGAAAAAATAAACCAAACCAAATTTAATTTAAATTAAAAAAAATTCGGGAAAAATTTCGGTCAATTTTTTTCTCGCAAATCCTGTGATGAAATATTCAATTTTGCAGAGATTTTTTCTGTTCAACAACAGCAAAAATGTTTCAGCGTTCAATTGGTTTATTGCTGTTTTATCGAAATTTTGCCACTAGAAATCGATTAAACAATTATCAAATGAAACAATATTTTCGAGAATTCGGTAGAAAATTTTTCGATAAACAAAACAATCAAACATCAATGATGATGAAAAAACAAACAATTTCTTCTTCGGGTTCAACGGATTCAACTTCTTCATCATCATCTTTGGATTATCGTGAAGAAAAAGATACCTTAGGTATTGTACGAGTACCGGCAAATCGTTTATATGGTGCACAAACACAACGTTCATTAAATAATTTTCATATTGGCACAATGGATTGGAATCCGGAACAAATGCCAAAAGAACTGATTCGTGCATTTATTTTATTAAAAAAAGCATGTGCCCATGTAAATCAATTGAATGGTGATTTGGATGAACGAAGAGCTCAGGCAATTCAACAAGCTTGTGATATAATCCTGGATGAACAAAAAATTGACATGAAACATGAATTTCCATTGATAATATGGCAAACTGGTAGCGGTACACATACCAATATGAATTGTAATGAAGTTTTAGCAAATTTAGCAATGAAAATTCTTAGCGATGAAAACATCAAAATTCATCCAAACGATCATTGTAATCGATCACAATCATCAAATGATACATTTCCAACTGCAATGCATATTGCCATTGCATTAGAATTAAATGGAAAACTATTACCAGCATTAGAACAGCTATATAAATCTTTGTTAACAAAACAAATGGAATTTGTAAATATCATTAAAATTGGCCGTACACATTTGCAAGATGCAACACCCATAACACTTGGTCAGGAATTTTCTGCTTTTTCTCAACAAATCAAATTCAGTATTGATCGTATAAAATCAGTATTAGAACCGCGGATCTATTATTTAGCTATTGGTGGTACGGCTGTTGGAACCGGGTTAAATTCACCCGAAGGTTGGGATCATGATGTTTGCAAAGAAATTTCCCGAATAACTGGATTAAATTTTCGTCCAGCACCAAATAAATTTGAAGCATTATCATCAAATGATGTAATGGTTGAATTATCCGGTGCGTTTAATGCTTTAGCATGTAGTTTGAATAAAATTGCTAACGATATTCGTTGGTTAGCAAGTGGACCACGTTCAGGCCTGGGTGAATTATCGCTTCCAGAATTAGAACCAGGTTCATCGATAATGCCCGGTAAAATTAATCCAACACAATCAGAATCAATGACAATGATTTGTGCACAAATTCAAGGTAATCATTTAGCTGTTACAATTGGTGGTATGCAAGGTCATTTTCAATTGAATGTTTTTAAACCAATGATAATTGCAAATATATTACGTTCATCCAGGTTATTAACTGATTCAATTCAATCATTTCAACGGAATTGTATTGATCATATTCGTCCAAATGAAAAACGTATCAAACAATTAATGCAAAATAGTTTAATGCTGGCGACAGCATTAAATCCTTATATTGGTTATGATCAAGCTGCATTACTAGCCAGAACAGCATATAAAGAAGATGCCCGTTTAAAAGATACAGCAATCAAATTAGGTATGATGACAGGTGAACAATTTGATGAATGGATAAAACCTGATGAAATGATTCGACCGACCAAGAAAAAGAAAGAAATTTTCAAAGTGAAAAAAACATGATAATGTTATTATTATTGAAAAATAATTCAATCTTTGAATTTTTCGTTATGTAATTTGATGTAAATTGATGTTTTTGTACCAAAAGAAGAAAAGAAAAACAAGCAAAGAATATTTTGAATAAGAAATTTTCCATGGAAGAAAATTTTACTTGGAAAAACACTTTATTTACTTTACTTTATTCAACAACAACAAGAATTTGTTTGAACGAAAAAAAAACATATTTAGAATTCACGTTTATTTTAATTTTAACAGAAATGAAATTTTCTTCTACTTCTTGATAATGGTGGTGATCTATTTTTAATTTAAATGAATTTTGTTTTTTTCTTTCATTCTTCAAATAAATTAAAGCAATTTTTTTTCACAAACTATTAATCAAAATGGACGTTTATTTTCTTCTCTTTTTTTTGACAGCTTGATTGGTATTTCCACCACCAACAACAACAACATCGTCATCAAATTTCATTAATCTTTTACCTGGCTGCTCTGATTTTTTCTTTTTTTGCTATTTCGCCATTTGTGGCGGAACCGACCACCACCGATGCAGTGTAGCATCAATTTACCTGTTTGATTAACCTGGCAAAGACTAGAAAATTCATTCAAATTAAGAATAAAATTCATTGTTATGCAAAATGACTAAATCAAAATCAAATCAAAACAAAACTTGTAATTCACGATTTTAAATTAAAATTTTTTTTTCAATTTTAAAAAAATTTAAAAAAATTTAAATGAATTTTTTAAAAATTTTAAAATAATAATGTCCACCACTAAAGAATTTTCAAGCTGAAATAATGATGATGATTTTTATATTTGTCCCCACTGACCTGATGACCAACTTTTGTGATCATTTTTTTTTTCTTTGTTCTATATCCACCCTTTTTTTTGGTTGATACCAATTTGGGTAGATTAAGATTTTTTTGTTTTGTTTTCTTAACCCTGCATCACACAAAACAAAGATGTTACACATATGAATTGTAATGATGATGATGGTGGTGTACTGGGAAAATATTTTGATAATGATGATAAACACATAGTGTGAGAGATGGATAGAAAAGGAAACAAAACAAATCTAATTTCCTTCAACCATAATCCTGTTATTTTATTTTTTAACACATTAACAACATTCAAGGCATAAATCTTTGAATGCAATTCTTTTTTCATTGTCAATATCGTTAATGGATAATAAGTAATCAACAACCAATCGGAAGAAAAGAAAAGAAAGATGTAAAGAAAAAGATTATCTTTGAACAAAATTAAATTGGAAAAAAATTTTTAAACAAAACAAAACAAAACAATAAAATATAATCCATATTCCACCCTTTAACTTTAAAAAGATGTTTTCATTCATTCATCCAAAAAAAGAAGATTTGATGACGCCTACAAATTTACCATTATCTTTATCATCATCTTCAAATGTTCAACCAAAACAAAACAATAGATTTAATCGGTTTTTTGTTGTTGTTGATCTAATTTTTCTCAATTCCATACAAACCAATTTTTATCAATTCATCATCATCATCATTGGTTTCTGTAATTACAAAATTGGATCAAGAAACTGACCAAAAACTAAGCTAAATATATGGGTTATGCGAGAGATTATCATCATAATCATCGTCTATTGTGTGTGTGTGACATCAAAGAGTTAATTTGCAAATGATGAAATATGATAATTAAATATGCAAAAAAAAAAATTATAACCTTGAAAATTACATAACGTTTTTTTTCGTTGTTTAAATGGATAATCATCATCATCATCGTTTTGGATGATTAAAAAAAAAAACATTATTTTTTCTTCACCAAACCAAGTTATTAAACATTATCAAATTATGGTCAAAGTAAACCACCTTACAGGTAAATGAAAAACTTAAAGATGAAAATGGCCTTTGTATGTTTGTGTGTTTGGGTAACCATCGTTATCCACCTGAACTCTATTAAACCATCATCACCACCACCATTATCATCGTTATCGTCATCGTTATTTTTGATTGTCTTTTTCAATGTCTTTTTCAGAAAATGTTCGATTTGAAGATGAAGAAAAAAAGGATTTTCGGAAGTTTTTTTTGGCTGTCAAGTTCACCAGGTAAGATTTCTGTGACTTCAAAATAAATGTCGACCTCGAAAATAAAACGACGAAAGAAGAAGAAGCCATTATTTGCAAAATTATCACAACATTTCTTCAATGGAAAAGATTAGGTTTTTTTCAAGTACAAAAAAAAATGAAATAAAATTTTTTTTTATTTCAAAAATCCAGGAAGTTTATTTTGTCAATGGATTTTTGATTTTGTTGGTTTTTTGGTTGATTTTTCAAGTTTTTTTTCAAAATTTTAAACCTAAAAAAATTAGCAGATAATATTTGTTGAAAAGAATTAGAGAAACTTTCCGAAAATTTATTATTTAATCAGCTTAATTTCTGTTTTTGTTGTTGTTGTTGTTCAATGATTTTTGTCCAACACAGAAGATGTTTATGATTGATGAAATATAATGGCTAATAAGAAGATAAAAAAAATCAACTTAGCTGCCTTAGTCTTGGCTTTACCGGCTTACCTAGCCTGTTTGCCCTTATTATTATCATCATCATCACCGGTCGATAATAAATCATTTTTTCATTCATTCATTCGATGAAATTAATTTACAAAACAGATTTTTTTTTCTTCTTCAAGTGCTACTTGTCTTATCTTTCATTCATTCATTCATTTAGTGGAAAAAAAAATCAATTTTAAACTTTTTCTTCTTCTTAGTTTTCGAAATTGATTGATAAACAAATTCCGGTAGTTTTTTTTTGTTTTGTTTTAAATTTCAAAGTTGTCATTAAACTGACAACAACTGTAATCTATTGTCATCGTTGACAGTTTCATTATCGGTTTTGGTGTCCTGTCCTGTGTTTAAAAAAAAACAATGTCCTCATTTTCATAAAAAAAATGTTTCTAATTTTTGGATGAAACAAAAAAAAAATCCATTTTCCAATTGTGCGCATGACTGTTTTCACACACACACACACACTTGTTTGTTTGGTCTGTTCGTTTTGAGCTAAAAATAATCATTTTTTTTCCAAAAAACAGCTGATGATCATCATCATTATCATCATTCGATGCAATAACGGTGAAATCCAAACCCCCTCCCCCAAAAAAAAGCAAAATCAAGTTTTTTAATATTGTGATTAAGATTTATGTGTTGATCAGATTAGATAATGATGATCATCAATGATTTTCTTATGGTAAAATGTGATTGATTGACAAATATTTTGTTGCTTAAACAAAGCAAAACAAAACAAAACAAACAATGTCTTTTTTCACCACAAAAAAAAACAAACGGTAAATAAATGATCATCATCATCATCGGTAGCAGCCGAAACAACGCCCAGCAATCTAATATTGTTTTTGGATTTGTTTTTTTTGTGATTTTTTTATTTCTGGCGAAACCAAGGCAACAAAACCAAAACAATCTTTTAATTTCTTTTCTTTGTGAAATAATGATGATGATGATGATTTTGTACACAATTGATAATTGATTTTTTGATGTCATCCTAAATTGTACGCCATTTAAAAACAATGATTCATTTGTATTGATTGATTCGCTGCGTTTCTATTTTTGTTTTGGGTAAAAAAAACGAAGAAGAAGAAAAGAAAAATGTCATATTCACAATTTCAACATCAAAAATTTCAAAATGATCCTGAATTTGAATCAATTTTGGATTTGGATAATGTTGAATTATTTAATCGTGATACATTATATTATCCGAATCAAAAATCATTGTTAAATTTTCTAAATAAACAACGTTTACAAAATCAAAATGTTCGTAAAAAATTAACACAAATATTACTTGGTTTGATAATATTATTCTCTTCGATTTTATTAATATTTTCAATTATTGGTTTTATTCGTTATTATCAAAATGTACAAAATGATTCAATAAAATTGTTGGATGAACAAATATGGGCAAATAAAATGCAAAGTTTAGAACAATGTCAATCAATCGAACCAGCCGAACGTATTGATTGTAATCCCGATCCACCAATATCGAAAGAAATTTGTGAACAACGTGGTTGTTGTTGGAATCCAATTGATCGAATATATTCAGAATTTTTATCACTTGATACGAAAAAATCTGAAACATCATTACCACCAATCAATATACCATTTTGTTATTTTAATCCAATCGATTATAATGGTTATAAAATTGTTGAAAATCAATCGGAAAATGGATATTATTTTATACATTTGAAACGAATGAGGCCATCAGGTTTCCCCAATGATATTCCGCATGTTCAATTAGAAATTTATGAATTAACGGATGAAATTTTACGTATAAAATTTACTGATTTACATAATCCACGTTTTGAAGTACCTATACCTAAATTGAATATCCCTACTCAAATGGTTGATGATTCAACAAAATTATATTCAATTGAATTAAAGGATTCTAATCTAATTATCAAACGTCGTTCAAATGGACAATCAATATTTAATGTAAATCTTCAATTGTTGATATATTCAGATCAATTTATACAACTGACAACTGGATTACCATCAGAATTTATATATGGTATTGGTGAACATCGTGAACCGTTTCGTAAATCAACTAATTGGAAACGTTATACGTTATTTAATCGTGATCAATATCCAATATCAGATTCATCATTATATGGTTCACATCCATTTTATTTATCTGTTGAAGAATTGAATGATAAACAACCTGCAAGTGGTGTATTCCTGTTCAATAGTAATGCTATGGATATTATAACACAACCATCACCTGCAATAACTTTTCGAACGATTGGTGGTATTTTAGATTTTTTCCTATTTCTCGGTCCAAAACCTGAACAAGTTGTACAACAATATCATCGATTAATCGGGTTACCAACAATACCACCATATTGGTCATTAGGTTTTCATTTATCAAGATTTGGTTATCGTAATTTAACTAATTTAATGGCAACATTTAATCGAAATCTTGAAGTTGAAATTCCAATTGATGTTCAATGGACTGATATTGATATGATGACCTCAGCAAATGATTTTACATATGATGAAAAACATTTTAAAGGTTTACCCGATTTTATTGATAATGTTTTACATAAAAATGGTATGAAATTCGTACCAATGTTTGATCCAGGAATATCTGCTAGTGAATCACCAACCGGTTCATATCCACCATATGATTATGGTGTTGAATTGGATATTTTTATTAAAAATTCATCAAAACAAATATTTATCGGAAAAGTATGGAATCGACAATCAACAGTATGGCCAGATTTTTTTCATCCGAATGCGACAAAATATTGGACAAAAATGTTTTCGGATTATCATCGACAGATTTCATTTGATGGTGCATGGATCGATATGAATGAACCATCAAATTTTGTTGATGGTCAACTTCGTTTTGGTTGTCCACGAAATAATAATTTTGAATTACCACCATATACACCTGGTATGACTGATGATAGTCTGACTTTAAGACATAAAACATTATGTATGACAGCTAGACATTATAATGATCAATTACATTATAATCTTCATAATTTATATGGATTACAAGAAACAATCATAACAAATAAGTATGTTTTATTTCATTTGCTTTTTTATTTTTTAATCTTTGATTTTTTTTTCTATTTCACCATAATGAAGAGCACTGAAAACTACATTAAATAAACGTCCATTCATAATATCACGATCAACTGCACCAGGACATGGACATTTTGGTCATCATTGGACAGGTGATATTGTATCGGATTGGTCATCAATGCGTTGGTCAATATCATCCATATTGAATTTTAATCTATTCGGTATACCAATGGTTGGTGCTGATATTTGCGGTTTTAATGGTAATACAACGGAAGAATTATGTGCACGTTGGCATCAATTGGGTGCATTCTATACATTTGCACGTAATCATAATACAGATGATGCTATTGATCAAGATCCAGCTGCATTAGGACCATATGTAATACAAGCAGCAAAATATGCTTTGCTAGTTCGTTATGCACATCTGCCATATTTATATACATTATTCTATAATGTTCACCAGAATGGTGGTACAGTATTACGACCATTATTTTTTGAATTTCCTGGCGATCAAAATTCCTATAAAATTGATACACAATTTATGTGGGGTAGTTCGATGATGATTGCACCGGCTTTATTACCAAATCAGAAAAAGGTATTTTATTTTGTGAATTTAATTTCAAATGTTAATCATTTTTTGTTTTTTTTTTCTCATTCCTCAATCACAAAGATTGATGTATATTTTCCCAAAGGAACATGGTATTTTATCAGTGATTATCAACGAATCGAAGGACGTGGTGAATTTATATCAATGCCTGCATTACCAACATATCCAAGTGTTTATTATCGTTCTGGATCAATTATACCAATACAGAAACCAAATATAACAACAGAATCAACCAGGCAAGAACCATTTAGTTTGTTGATTGTATTGGAAAATGAACAATCGGATGCCATTGGATCATTATTTATGGATTCAGGTGATGATATTGATAGTGTCGAACTTGGACATTATAATCTATATGATTTTAAAGTGAAAGATGTAAGTGTTTTTTTCCAAATTAATCATTCTTACCTGACTGATAATTTTGTTTTTGTTTTTTGTTTTTAATTGTTTTTCAAAATAGCAAAAATTATCAATCGAATCAAAACATCTTGGCTATCAAACAAAATTAATTATTGATGAAATAATTTTGGTTGGATTTTATCGAAAACCAAAATCAATTTCAATTGATGATAATAAAAAAATTGATCCCTCCAATTTTAAATATGATAAAATTCGTCATACATTAACCATCAATAATTTACAGCTATCATTATATACGAAACAAAATTTGATGAAAAAAATTTCAAATCAAATTTATTGGAATTTATTATCTTGATAAAAACACCCAAACACTTGTTCTGTTTTTGTTTCTGTTTGCATAAATCTTATTTGTATAATATGAAATAACCTTGTAAATTTTTTTTTAAAAATTGATAATTTTTATCAATATTATCAATAGAATCGTTTCTGTCAAGTGCCACTTAATTAGAATAAATAAAAAACAATTTAATTTTCCATTGATTTTAAAGATATGTTGATTGTTGATAGAAAAACAAAGTGTTTTTTTTGATCGATATAAAAACTCTGGTTTTTGTTTCTAGATTCTATTCATAACCATTGTTTTTTGACTTTGTGTCTTTGGCAAACAAAACAAAAAAAAACATGGCTTCCAGAAGATTATTTTCCTTGCTGTTGTTGATTGTATCGTTATGGACAACATCAGTTCAATCATTGGATTCCGATCCAATGAAATGTAATTCAATTCGTAATGAAGATCGTATTGATTGTAATCCTGATCCACCAATATCGAAAGAAATCTGTGAACAACGTGGTTGTTGTTGGAATGCTGGTAATAACACTGATGATGATGGTGGTAATTTAATCAGTCGAGCACTACCTCATCTTGGTGTACCTAGCTGTTATTATGGTGAAAATTATATTGGTTATAAGATTGAAAAAATATATATAAAAGACGAGGATTTATCAATGACTAAATTGAAACGTGTTCGACCATCAGGATTCCCCAAAGATATTGAAAATGTTAATATTGAAATTCATCAATTGAATGATCAAGTACTTCGTTTGAAATTTATTGATGCTAATCAAAAACGATATGAAGTTCCAACACCAAAATTAAATATTCCATCAGTATCAAAATCATCCAATTCTAGGCTATATTCAACAGAAATCAGTGGTTCACATCTTATTGTACGAAGACGTGAAACAAATCAATCAATTTTTGATATTAATCTTGCACAAATGGTATATTCCGATCAATTAATTCATCTAACATCTAAATTGCCATCAAAATATATATATGGTATTGGTGAACATCGTGAACCATTTCGTAAAACAACCGATTGGAAACGTTATACACAATGGACTCGTGATCAAGTTCCAATATCTGATCATGCTTTGTATGGTTCACATCCATTTTATATGATGGTTGAAAATAAAACCAAATTAGCAAGCGGTGTATTCCTGTTCAATAGTAATGCTATGGATATTTTAACACAACCATCACCGGCAATAACTTTCCGAACTGTTGGTGGAATATTAGATTTTTTTATATTTTTTGGTCCAAAACCTGAACAAGTTGTACAACAATACCATAACCTGATTGGTTTACCTGCAATGCCACCATTTTGGTCATTAGGTTATCAACAATGTCGATATGGTTATAATAATTTTACCAATTTAAATCAAACTTATTGGCGTACAAGACAAGCAGGTATTCCAATGGATGTTCAATGGACCGATATCGATATGTTTGATTCATATAATGATTTTACATATAATCATAAACAATTTAAAGAATTACCTGATTTTATTCGAAATGTTTTACATAAAAATGGCCAAAAATTTATACCAATGTTTGATTGTGGTATTTCAAGTGGTGAAAAGGCTCATTCATATCGTCCATATGATTATGGTGTTGAATTGGATATTTTTGTTAAAAATTCATCAAAACAAATTTTCAATGGAAAAGTATGGAATGGTAAATCAACAGTATGGCCGGATTTTAGTCATCCAAATGCAACAAAATATTGGTCAAAAATGTTTGAAGAATATCATAAAATTATTGAATTTGATGGTGCTTGGATCGATATGAATGAACCATCCAATTTTTATGATGGTCAAATTGATGGTTGTCCAAAAACGGAAATTGAAAATCCACAATATGTACCCGGTATGACTGATGATAGTCTGACTTTAAGACATAAAACATTGTGTATGACGGCCAGACATTATAATGATCAATTACATTATAATCTTCATAATTTATATGGATTTCAAGAAGCAATCGCAACAAATGAGTAAGTTTCATTTCTGTTGATATTTTAATCTTTGATTTTTTTCATTTTATCATTTCATCTCTGAAAGAGCATTGAAAACTACATTAAACAAACGACCATTCATTATATCACGATCATCGGCACCAGGACATGGTCATTGGGCTAGTCATTGGGATGGTGATGTTATTTCGGATTGGTCATCGATGAGATGGACAATACCATCGATATTGAATTTTAATCTATTCGGCGTTCCGATGATTGGTGCCGATATTTGTGGTTTTATTGGTGATACAACTGTTGAACTTTGTCGTCGTTGGTATCAATTGGGTGCATTTTATTCATTTGTACGTAATCATAATACTGATAATGCTATTGATCAAGATCCAGTAGCATTAGGTGAAACGGTAGTTCGTACAGCTCGTAGTGCATTAACTTATCGTTATGCATTTTTACCCTATTTATATACATTGTTTTATAATGTCCACCAAAATGGTGGTACAGTATTACGGCCAATGTTTTTTGAATTTCCCGATGATGATCATTTGTATGATATTGAAACACAATTTATGTGGGGTGATTCAATGTTGATTGCACCGATTCTATATCCAAATCAAACAGAGGTTTGTTTTTTTTTTGTTTTTCAAGAATTTATTTCATAGAATAATCCCTTCTTTTATTCCACAGAATAAAGTTTATCTACCAAAAGGAACATGGCATAATATGAGACAAACATTCGAAAGTCAAGGACAATATTTTACCATAAAAGATTCATTGGATGATATTAATTATGTATTTTTCCGTAGTGGTTCAATAATACCAATACAAGAACCACAAAATAATACCGAAATGATGAAATCAAAAGATTTTGGCCTAGTAGTTATATTGGATCCAAAAAATCCTCAACCTAATGCAAAAGGATCATTATATTTAGATTCGGGTGATAGTCTGGATCCAGTGAAAAAAGGCGAATATAATTTCTATAATTTTGAAGTTAAAAATGTAAGTTTTTTTATGAAGAATTCATTGTAAAAATAGACTAAATATTTTTCTACTGTCTACCTACTATTATAGAATACATTAACAATTGAATCACAACATCTTGGTTATCAAACAAATCAATCGATAATAATACTTGAAATTTTTGGTATTGACAGAAAACCAACCTCAATAATATTTGATGGTAAACCATATTATCAATTTATTTATACAACAAACAATATGTTGATTATACAAACAAAATTATCAATTTTTAATAATGATAATAATGATAAATCAAAAAAGATTCATTATCAATTTGAATGGAAATTTAATTAAACTTGATTGTTTTGTTATGATAAAATAAAATAAAAAAAAAAATTAAATCAATCGATTGATCACTTATCATCATAGACAGATAGACACATATTATCGATCAATCAATCAATCAATCAATCGATTGATATATATCGATATTCCACTTTATATTTTTTCTGGATATTGGTTTCAATTGGTTGTTGTTGTCGTTGTTGATGATGATGATTATAAAAAGCATGGATATTAAAAATGAAATTCATTGTTTGAAAACTAAATTACTTTTCAAACCGAAAAATGATGGCAAAATTTTTCCCATTTTCAATCATAGTTTTTATTGCTATTTCGACTGTTTTTGCTTTCGATGATATCGATTCGTCAAAATGTAGTTCGGTGCGATATGAAGATCGAATTGATTGTCATCCTGATCCACCTGTTTCACGCGAAAATTGTCTCGAACGTAAATGTTGTTGGCAAGAACTTGAAAATTCATCAATCGCCAATCAACAATCGTCGAATCTTCCAATATTACCGAAAATCGGTATTCCAAGCTGTTATTTTGGTAAAAATTATGTTGGATATCGGGTGGAAAATTCCGATCATTCATCATCATCATTATCTTTGAATTTGAAACGTATAAAATCATCAGGATTTTTATTCGACATTAAAAATGTTAAAGTAAATATTGAAGAATTAAGTGATAAAGTTGTACGGATAAGATTTACCGATAATGATGATCCGAATAGATTTGAAGTACCTATACCGAAACTTAATCTACCTAAACGATCATCATCATCATCACCATCATTATTATATAATGTATCGATTGTGGATAATAATCGTTTGATCATACGAAGATTAGAAACAAATCAATCAATTATCGATATAAATTTGGCTCAATTAATTTATTCGGATCAATTTATTCAGGTAACCACACGATTACCATCAAATTATATATATGGTATTGGTGAACATCGTGCACCATTTCGTAAATCAACATATTGGACACGTTATACACAATGGGTTAGTGGTTTATATCCGCGACCAGATCATGCTTTGTATGGTAATCATCCATTTTATTTGGTTGTTGAAGATGAAAGTCCATCAAAATCGGCAAGCGGTGTTTTCCTGTTCAATAGTAATGCTATGGATATTATAACACAACCATCACC